CCCTCGCCCACGTGCTACCATTGGTCCACTCCCATACCTGCTCCCATTGGCTTGGGGTAGGCTACACCTTTCACTTCCCTGCCTATAAAATCCAACTCCTCACACCCTATTGGCATATTCATCGCCCTGATGACGGAGGCAGTATGACCTCTGAAACGTTGGTTAACATCGACCAGACTACACAGCGCAACAACTCAGAAGACGGAAATCTTCATATTTCAGGTTGCTACTTGTTCCGTAGCCTTCATCCCAGATCGTTTTCACTCTTCCTGCCTGATCTTATTCTGTTATATTAATCTTGTAAAAGTCCATTGATAAGTTCGTGTCAGACGCATTTTATCTGAAAGAATTACCACTCTGGCGTGCAGTCATCAGCTTGAGGGCCGTTTCACACTGTCGACCCAGTCGCTGAACGACCAAAACCATCAGCAGGGCGACGAGCGCAGACAGAGACCTCAGCCTCAGTAATTTGGAAGCAGTCAAGCAGTACGGACGTCGAGGAGATCACTATAACGATAAAAAATCGTTCCACTAATAGAAACAGGAAAAAAGTGATAGTGGAACCACGGTTCCGGAGAATTTGACGTAAATACGTCTATACGGAAAGGAAGTTCATATATTGTTTCCTAGGTAACAACAATGCTGAGTAAACAGATGAGGTTTCCTAAGTAACATAACAATGAAGTTACACTTTTTCGTAACACATTTTTGCCGAATAACACTGACCCTAAAATATAGACGTATTTACGTCAAAAAAGGAGTAGAAAACATTGGGTGCACCCTTTTTTCAACTCCCTGTTTGTATAATCGGGACTTGCAAGGTCCCAAATGACTCTTCGTGACTCTACGGCCGAAATAAATCTTTCAGTATCAAAACTCATGATATACTGATCACTTGAGTGACATGAACACGACGGGCGAAAAGAAGAAACAATGGATATGTCACCTCTCTGAGCTCTGGTCGCTGACTGAGTCGCCCGCAAGGTGAACGCGTGATTGCCATCTATGTATCTCGTGGTCGTTGGTCTCCTGTGCGTCGCTCACTGCAAATTGGTCGACGGCGGCCATTGGTCGCGGTCGCCCTCGTGTGTAAGCTCGTACTATGCTTTTCTACCTGGTGGTTGTTCAGCGACTGGTCGCCAGTGTGAAACGGCCCTAAAGGGCAGTGGATTTTATCGAGGTTGATTCCTCCGGTAGTTGAATTCACGTCTTTACCTCTGTTACGGAGTCTCATCCACTTCTAGTTATCTTTGTACCTCATCATCATCAACTACTACAAGGATTTCGTCTATTGACCAGTTCCGGGACGGTTTCTCAAGCGCGCGCACAGCCGCAGTTTCTGCATCAGATAATTTCAGCACGTCTGAAGTTCTCTGGCAATTGTCACTACCACGTCAACATTCAGTGATCTCTTATTATCACAACTGAGCGAAAAATCGACTCCTTTAAACTCAGCTTTTTAACACAATTATAATGTTCCGCGCAAATTACGACTGTTTAACTTATTTATAAAATCAAACAATTAACTCTGAGAAAGAAATTATTTTCCCGGCGGTGTCCGAATTTATAACTTGTGTTGGGCATGGCCGTGGTCTAGGCAACACGGAGTTTTCCTCCGTGGCATCCCACCAATTACTCCATTCACACACAGAAGAAGGCAATGGCAAACCACTTCTGGATCATCTGCCAAGAACGTATATGAACAGGTCCCAGTCCGAGAAAAGGATCGAAGGATCCTGTTCATATGGACCTTTCGTCAGACAGAACACTAAATAAATAAATAAATCTACGATATGAGACCACCGGTTTTACTTTCCCTCCGAAGGAAGTTTATCACCCTTAAAAATCCATCGACCTCGGCCGGGTTTGAACCCGCGAACCTTAGGTCCAGTGGCGAGCACGCTAACCACTTACAGGTTTAAATAGCAGGAAACTGGGTGTAACTTGCATGCGGGGATTTACTGATACGGTTATCACTGACTGATAATTTACTGTGAGTGTACCACTGCCATGTACACCCCTGAGACCTTTGTCAGTGGTGATAAAAGTGTTAAGTTGTCCCTGAAGTGTTAGGTTGTGCTGAAATAAGCAACACGTCATGACAAGCGAGCTGAAGTAAAGTTCTAGTTTTTAACCTCGGCGCTAAGCTTTTTCATCCGGAATATATTTCCTCACGTCGTTGGATAAGAGGCGGCTGACAGGAAATCATTGGCTTCTTATGAAATTATGTTCAATTTTAAAATATCTGCAGCTCCTCATAGCTTGGTCTGTAAAAGCAACATTTTCGTTGCCTAATTAATTAACACGGTGTCACAGCTTTTCTCATACCGTCCTTCTGTTCGTGTCCTTAATTCTTGCTGTTACACTTCACAACACTTCCCTTGGTTATACAGACTGACAACAATTTAAAGTAAAATTTAAAATGCATATCAGTTTTTTATTCGAGTTATATACCGACAGTGGAAAACGGTTTGCGCCTCAAAGTGCCTCGACATTTAAGTTTTTGTTTACAGACGCTCGTCGTAGTGTCCACGGCGATGTGGCACGCGTCCCATCCGAATGCAGTCTCGTCGTATGTTCTGCTGTTCCCTTAAGAAATGCAGCATCGGAGTTACACAGATTTTATCTGAAGATTGCTGGCTATCTTCTAGATTGTTGCGCCGTGTAGTCTGGTAGAGTTTACCGACGTTTCAGAGGTCTTTGCTGCCTCCATCATCAGGGCGATCGCCATCTTCAGACTCACCGCCGTGATAATCTGAAATCCTAAAAATTCTGTCCTTGACGAAGGTCCAGAATTGCGAGAAAGAATCCGTGATGCTGTGATGAGTATCGGTGTAGATACGCTGTGGATTCCACGTCGAACACTTATGAACAAAAACGTGAATGCTGGGCCACCGTCACGGGAAATTCATTTTCCAATGTGTGGCCTGAATAAAAAGTAATACGTCCTTTAAAATTTCGTTTGTGGTCAGTCTGTAGTATTTGATGCTCGAGCCATGAGGTCAGAAGTCATGACCAGCTACGGAATACATTCGTGGACATGCCCTGGCAGCCATGAGGCTGTAGGGTTGATTTGACCCAACAATAATTTCACTGTTTTTACTCAACTTGTTCCATACATGAACACCGAAACTGTCCTTTATTATTTCCATAGTTTCATCACTTGCAGAGCTGTTGAAGAATAGCTCCCAATTCTGATACGGAATTGGGAAAAATTCCTTATCGGACAGAATCCTGAATCCTTTACACCTACTGGTAGACAGCTGTGGAACCTGAAAAAATATGTAATAACTTCAGTAAATTTTTACTTACGAAGTAACTGTAAGTTACTCATGCTTCAAAAACACAGACTGTCTCAAGTTGGGATGAATGTGGTAAGGAGAATTTGTGGAGCAAAGTGCACTAAACTGATAATTAATACGTTTATCTAATCAGTGAAAAGGCTTGCCGGAATATGTATCTTATCACGCTCTGAAATTAATGCGCACAACATTTTAGTCGGAAAGTCAGAAATAAATTTGTACGCAGAAATCCATCTTAAATAAACGATGCGAAGATAACGACTGGATTCAAGTGGCTAGATAATATTTTTTTTTTAATGTTGTGTTAAAGTTTCTTACAGGTAAAATATAATGTGAAAGTTCAATGGATGTCGGTACACACGCAAATATATCTGAAATTGTGAACAGTTCGTTTAATGACCGCCGACTTACGATTTGACTGTGACACATCTTCAAGAGCACTCTGGTGATGAGCCCAGGGCCGTTGTGGGTCCAGATGTTTCCCCTGAAGTTCGTCAGAAGCTCATCCACGCATCTCTCTGCTACTGCGTGTCCGATACCGCTGGATGCAAAACTCAGGACACAGCTTGCTATCGAGTCCTGTGATTCCACGCCTACGTAGTCGGTGCCCAGTTTATCCAGCGACCTGTTTTAATCAAACTACGCGTTAGTAAGCCTTAGCCGTGGGGGTCGAGACACTGCGAGAAACCGCCAATCTCAGGGCCGAGATTTCAACATGGGACCTTCCGAACACAAAGCAGGGTTACCGGTAGTGTTAATCACTTGGCCGAGACGTTATGCTACTGTTAATGTTAATACAGGTAGCCTTCGATTTACGCCGGGTTTGCGTTCCTGGACGAACCGGCGTAAATTGGAACGATTTTATAACGTAAATCAATGTTAAGTCAATGACATGCGTTCCCAGCACCCAAACATTGATGAGTAATATAATGGGATTACATTTAAAGCTCTGAAATAAAGTAAATAAAATAATTGGAATTTAATAAATATATTTTATACACTTACAATCGGCGAGGGCGTGATGAAGCGGAGTTAGTTCTCTGACGAAGTCCCTGGTTGAGGATCGTCATGATTTTTAAAGAAGGTATATAGTGTGGACTGATGTGATTTCTTCTTTCTTTCTTTCAAAATTTCACGATAAGGCCTCATGGACGCCATAACACTTCTCTTCGCTGTAGCACAAGAGGAAACTCGCATATGCAAAAGTTTGCATTTCAAAAACAGCTTTTACCGATTGATTGATCGATCTCATTGGAGCAAATTCGCGTTAATGAAACATACGTAATTGCAGAGATGACAGTATTTATAATTTTTCTTCAAAATCAGCGATGTAAGAATTACGATTTTGTATAAGAATTAGTACGAGAACATTGTAAAACGTTATAAATAATAGTA